GATGCTGCTTGGCCTGCTGTGTTCATCCAGCCCTGCACCTTGTTGTCCTGGAGCTGAGATGACTGACCTCCCACAACCACAACCATCTTCCAACAACTAGTAATGACTTTAACCAGAGAGAGCTTTCCCTTGGTTCCTATTGACTTCAGATTTTCTAGGGCTTCTTGATGCCACACTCGGTCGAATGCAGCCTTGATATCAAGGGCTGTCACTCTCACCTCACCTCTGGAATTCAGCTCTTTTGTCCATGTTTGAACCAAGGCTGTAATGAGATCAGGAGCTGAGTGGCCCTGGCAGAACCCAAACTGAGCAGGTTATTACTTTGCAGGTGCTTCTTCTTAGCACTGTCAATAATCCCTTACATCACTTTACGAGCAATGGGTGGTTATTACCCAGGTTAGATCAGTTTTACATATCATGTACAGGAATTACCTGGGGGCAAAATTCAGCACTTACGGCAACTGGCAGCTTTGTAGCTGTGCTGGAACAGCTTGGTAGGGTTACAGCAATTTCTGGAAATTGCTAAAGCTTCAAAGCGTTTGCAGTATCAAGTTTTTAGCTGTTTCTTGATATCACACAGTGCTGAGGACCTCTGAGGGGGCCAAGATGGATCATCCACTCAGGACCTCTGGCTAAATATGTTTACAAGTATTTAAGTCTTTTGCACTAATGTGCTGGGCTCCCCTATCTTTGAGATTGGGGATATTTGTTGTTTAATTGTCTACCACTATTCATGACTAAATATGGCAGGACCACAGAGCTTAGATCTGATCCATTGGTTGTGGAATTGCTTAACCCTATCCATTGCATGCTGTTTCTGCTATTTGAACATTGTCCTCTGTTGTATTTTCACCTGGTTGACACCTAAGTTTTAGATTTGCCTGGTACTCCTCCTGCCATGCCCTCCTGTGCTCTCCATTGAACCAGGTTTGAAGCCTGACTTGATGGTAATGGAAGACCGGGTACCATGCTGGGCTGTGAGGTTATAGATTGTCATTGATTCCAGGTTTTCTGATGGCAAAGTCCCTCATACGGTCCATAGTTTTGAGTTGCTAGATCTCTTTGAAGTCTATTAGCATGGAGGTAGAGCCTCCTAACATAATGAAGGGTATCTTCAATGTGAAGATGAGACTTTGATTCCACAAGGACTGTGTGATGATCATTCCTGCAAGTACTGACATGAATGATCACATCTGCGACAGATGCAATAGTGAGGACAAGATTAAGTAGATTTTTCCCTCTGGTTGGTTCCCTCGTCACCTGCAACAGACCCAGTCTAGCAGTTCAGTCCTTTTAGGACTCAGTTAGCTCAGTCAATAGTGGAGCTAACAAGCTACTCTTGGTGATGGGCATTAAAGTCTCCCACCAAGAGTACATTCTGTGCCCTTCCCACCTTAGTATTTCCTCTAGGTGGTGTTCAATTTGGAGGAGTACCAGTCCATTAGCTGAGCTGGGCAGTGGCTGGGTGAGCAGTTGGTGATAATGAGCAGGAGGTTTCCTTGCTCATGTTTGACCTCATGCCATGGAATCTCCTGGGGTCCAAAGTGAATGTTGAGAGCTTCCACACCCACTATATACCACTATGTTGTCACATCTGCTGTGTCCTGCTGGTGGGAAAAGGCATACTGTTGAATGGTGATGGAGGTGTCTGGAACATTATCTGTAAGGTACAATGCTATGAGTATGACTATGTCACGGTTTTGCTTCTCTGTGGGACTCTTCTCCCAATTTTGGCACAAGCCCCCCGATATAGTGAAGGCGGACTTTGCAGGGTCAATAGGGTTGTGTATGACATTGACCTAGGCACTAGAAATGGAACTGTCAATGGTCCATCTAGTTTCATTACTTTATTTAGGTCTCAGAGCAGTTTGATGTAAATGAGTGGCAAGCTTGGCCATTTCAATGGGCAGAGTCAACCACATTGCTGTGGGTCGGGAGTCACAAGTAAGTCAAACCACATGAAGATGGCAGACGTTCTTCCCTGAAGGCCAACAGTGAATTACGAGAATCAACAATAATTATACGTTTGTCATTGGGTTTGCATTTTTAAATTCCACATTTTATTGAACTCAACTTTCAACGTGTGCATTAGGATTTGAACCCAGGTGCCCAGGACACTGTTCTGGATTACTGGTCCAGTGACATTCCCACTATACTGTCACATCCTCAGCCATGCTTAATTGATGATGCATCTGTCTTGTGTAGAAACCTTCCCCCTTTTAATTTTCTGAGAGTGTGAGTATCACTGGTGTAACAGTTCTCAAGCACTGTGTGTACATTTAATGGTTTCGATAGTTTACTGCAACACACCCTCTTAGTTGTGATATAGAAATACCTGGAAAATATGAAGAGGAAACAATTCAGCCTCTCAAACATGTTTCACCATTTTTCTATCTTTTCATCCAACAAAAGTCTCTTAATCGCAGCACAGACAGAAATTTCTGGAGAAAACTCAACAGGTCTGGCAGCATCTGTGGACAGAAAGCAGTCTTGAACATTTCAGGTGGCCTCCAGCATCCACACACTTGAAGGAATTAATTTCAGTCTTCCACTAATCTTTGAATGAAGAAATCATATAAGCCATTTCAACACAATTTAAGCTGTTGTTCCACTGAAGTCAGGGTAGTTTTCAGGGAAGCTCTGTCCTCCCCTCTCACCATCCCACATAATAAATGAGAAAATGACTGAATGTAAATACAATTTCCTTTTGAGTCCGATCTGTCTACCAATGACTCTTCACGTGAAGTGCTGAATTAATCCTGTGAAAATGTTCAGAGATTTGTGGAAGGGTTGGTCCACTGCACTGATGTGTGTTAATTTCATGTTTGTCCAGGCAAACTACAGTTCTCTGATCTGAAGGAAATTTCTAGCAATCTTGGTGAGGCCATGCTTACTGGAAATCTGAGTGCTTCCCTGGGCTTTACAATCTCTACAATCGATCTTTCCAGTCCAGTGCCACCTCCAGGTGATGCACAGTGGGTTCAGGTAACACTACTTTTCCGCATTTCATTTCTGCCTGCAATATACACTCCTCTGGTAGAAATAAACACACAGCAAAAAGTGCAATTGGCGAAATAAATTGTTGAAGTTGATTTAAACAAAACATACAATAAAGAAATAGATCATTCAGGTCAGATAATGTATGCTGGGTTCATACTAGGGAGAAGGTAGCTATTAGGAGGGGGCATAGTTTTAAAGTGAGTGGAGGAAGATATAGGAGAGACGTTAGAGGTAGGGTCTTTACTGGGAGAGTGGTAGGGGCTTGGAATGCATTGCTGGAGAAGGTAGTGGAGTCTGCCTCATTAGGGGCATTTAAGTGGCTATTAGATAGGCATATGGATGATAGTATAAGGTGGGGGTGGAGGTTAGATAGACCTTAGGTTTAGGGTAAAAGTTCAGCACAACATCATGGGCTGAAGGGCCTGTAATGTGCTGTACTGTTCTATGTTCTATTCTGTGTTCTATGTAGACATAATCGTCCTCCCGTTCTCCTCATCTCAGCCTTTTAGCACTTCTTTCAATCCCCTTTACGCTCAAAGACATGTATAGTTTGCTTTGAAGGCTATTCACACCAATCCATTCTTTCCAGAGCAACACCCAGAATGGTGCAGACACTGCAAATTTGAAATGAAAAGGGATGATGCTGGAAACATTCAGCAGGTCAAGCAACATCTGTTGGAAGAGAAAGCAAAAGTGAATGTTTGAGATGAATGATTTTCATTCAGAAGTTTCACAGAGCCACATTAATATTTAATCATTATTCCACAAGCCTTCAGGGCCAGCCTCAAGCTCTAATTAGTAATTCTAACATTTCTAGGAAATGACAAGAAATTGTCATTCACTGGAGTTTGTGTTTGTTTTTCCAAGAGGAGAGGAAAGGAAAATTTTTAAGCTTAGCCACTGAAGAGACAAGAATGTATATGATGACATCTTTTGGCTGGATTGTTTTCTACCCATGAGTACGAATGGAGAAAGGTAGCATTAGCTCAAGAGGGATTAGCCTTTCCAGTGACAAATGGAAGCTATGGATCACCTTATATTTCATTGACCCCCTCGGACAGATTAATATAAACATCTGATCCCCTCCACCCCATATTTTCCAGTAACTGGGAATAACAATTCCATGTCCCAGTTTACAGGGTTATATTTCAAATATGACCACTACAAGTGTGATAATTAGTGTTTTTACTTGTATTTGCACTAAGGTTCACCAATGAAATTGATATCCCCTCACAAATTTTAGAGGAGTTCATATAGCCATGGATTTAGCATAGGGGCAACGACTGTTCACCAGAATTAGCAACAAGAAAGAAATCCACTCTTCAAAACTGAGTGAGCATGTTGGTTCAGATTGCCCAGACCTGAGTGGGGTTTGGTTATAGCCATGTCTCCATTCACTGGTAATTTTGTGTATTTGTACTTCAAGAAAAGCAAGTAAAAGTCAAGTTAGTCTATTTTAATAGCAAACGTATTTTGATACGTTTGATTTGCTGGGATGGGGTTGTGGGGGGCGGGGAGCGAAGGCGGCGTCTCGGGCCGATGGGATATGAATGAAATTTTGAAGTTGGAGTTCAGTTTAGGAATTGCACACTGGCTGATCTAGATTGAAAAGGCTAATGTACATGGTTGGCTTCATTGCAACTGTCTCGATGAAAAGGTTACCCCCAATTGTTTCTTTCATATCAGAAACACTTCATGCCTGGTTAGAAAACTGAGAACTGAAACCGGTTATGGCAGCATTTATGTGAATGTACATCTCGGTATTTACCCATTTGAAAAGTTGTGGCTGTTTTTCAGACTTCTGCCTGTATTTGTCAAACTGAAAAAAAACGACTTCTCCAAATATCACTGGTGAAATGTGCCTTTGTAATAGGCAGAACTGTGCCCAGGAATCCATTCAATGTGAAGTATGTAAACCAGCAATCTGCATCTTTATAAGAATCTACATTTAGCTGCCCACTGAGCGACTGCACAAGAATGCCCTCAGCTGCTTGTCATCTCTTAGAGTCCTAGAGCTGTACAGTATGGAAACACACCCTTCAGTCCAGCTCATCCATGCCAACCAGATAGCCTAAATTAATCTAGTCCCATGTGCCAGCATTTGGCCCATATCCCTCAAAACCCTTCCTATTCATATACCCATCCAGATATCTTTTAAATGTTATAATTGTTACAGCCTCCACCACTTCCTCTGGCAGCTCATTCCATTCACGCACCACCCTCTGCGTGAAAATGTTACTCCTTAGGTCCCTTTTAAATCTTTCTCCTCTCACCTTCAACCTATGTCCTGTAGTTTTTAACTCCCCAACACCAGCGAAGATCTTGTCTAGTTACCATATCCATGCCCCTCATGATTTTATAAACCTCTATAAGGTTACCCTCCGCCTCTGATGCTCCAGGGAAGATAACCCCAGTCTATTCAGCCTCTCCCTATAGCTCAAACCCTCCAATCTGGTAACATCCTTGTAAATCTTTACTGAACCCTTTCAAGTTTCACAACGTCCCTCCTAAAGCAGGGTAACCAGAATTGCACACAGTATTCCAAAAGTGGTCTAACCAGTGTCCTGTATAGCTGCAACATGACCTCCCAACTTCCATACTCAGTTTACGGACTAATAAAGGCAGGCGTACCAAACACCTTTTTCACTATCCTGTCTACCTGGGACTCCACTTTCAAAGAACTATGAACTCCAAGGTCTCTTTGTTCAGCAACACTCCCCAGGACCTTACCATTAAGTGTATAAGTGCTGCCCTGATTTGCCTTTCCAAAATGCAGCACCTCACATTTATCTAAATTAAACTCCATCTGCCACTCCTCGGCCCATTGGCCCATCTGATCAAGGTCCTGTTGTACTGAAGTAACCTTCTTTACTGTCCACTACATCGCCAATGTTGGTGTCATCTGCAAACTTCTATGTTCACATCCAAATTATTTATATAATGTTGCGAAATTGAGTAGAGTACTTGTGAATTGGAAGGCAAGATGTTAGAGTTTGTTTGTAAAAATGTTGTGGGAATATAAGACCTGATATAAGAGGGTTTTTGAAATTCAGTGTGAGAGCGAACTGCCATCGGAAGAGTAAAACTCGGCTCTCACAGAAATCTTTAAACTCTCTGATTAAGCACCATCTAAAAGCCACCATGGCACTCTTAGCTAATATTCCTGACACAAGGATTCGACAAAAAAAATTCCTGACTGAAGAATAGCGGAAAAGGCACAGAACATTCCAGAAGATGTATCCTGATTGTAATTTTGAGAGTCTAAGTTTTAATTTATTTTTGTCTTATTATTAGAGTTTATACAAATGGGACTTGTATTTATTTGGAACAGCATACCATCAGAATTTTGTTTTATTTGGGAATAGTTAGTAGTTAGGGAGGAATTGTTTGGTTTGTTATTAGTTCTGTTAATTTGATCACTGTTAGAGTCAGATAAATAGATTGTTTGTTGTTGATTGTAGACTGACTGTCAGGAGTTCATTTTATTTCGCTTCTCCTTTACAGCAGATAGGGAGGTGTGAGACAGGTTATACCACTTTTCACATTTCCTTTAACAGATGACAAGGCATAGCGAGCTTCTCTGGGTGTAGTGGTTTTAATTATCAGAGGGGTCCGACCTCCTCTCTGTAACAATCAATGACAAAAAGCAGTGGACACAGCACCGATCTTTGTGGCACACTGCTAGTCACAGGCCTCCAGTCTGAAAAACAACCCTACACCACCACCATCTATCTTTTTCGTTCAAGCCAGTTATATATCCAAATGGCTAGTTCTCACTGTATTCCATGTGATCTAACCTTGCTATCAGTCTAACCTGAGGAACCTTGTCAAACCCTTACTGAAGTCCATATAGATCATGTCCACCGCTCTGCTCTCATCAGTCCTCTTTGTTACTTCTTCAAAAAAAACTCAAGCAAGTTAGTGAGACATGATCTCCAACGCACAAAGGTATGTTGACTATCCCTAATCCGTCCTTGCCTTTCCAAATACATGTAAATCCTGTCCCCAGGATCCCCTCCGATTAACTTGCCCACCACTGATGTCAGGCTCACCGGTCTATAGTTCCCTGGCTTTTCCTTACCACCTTTCTTAAACAGTGGCACCATGTTTTCCAACCTCCAGTCCTCCAGCACCTCACCTGTGGCTATCGATGATACAAATATCTCAGCGAGGGGCCCAGCAATCACCTCCCTAGCTTCACACAGAGCTCTATGGCACACCCGGTCAGATCCTGGGGATTTAGCCACCTTTTATGCGTTTTGAGACATCCAGTACCACTACCTCTGTAATATGGATATTTTTCAAAATGTTGCTATTTATTTCCCATGTTCTCTATCTTCCATCTCCTTCTTCACAGTAAACCCTCATGCAAAATATTTGTTTAGTATCTCCCTCATCTCCTGTGGTTCTACACATAGGTGGCCTTGCTGAACTTTAAGGAGCTCTATTCTCTCCTTTGTTACTCTTTTGTCCTTAATGTATTTGTAGAATCCCATTGGATTCTCCTTAACCCTATTTGCCAAAGTCATCTCATGTCCCCTTTTTACCCTCCTGATTTCCCTCTTAAGTGTACTCTTACTGCCTTCATACTCTTCTAGATATTCACTTGATCCCTGACAAATGCTTCCTTCTTATACATGACCAAATTCTCTAGACATTCAGCATTCCCACACCTGTCAGCCTTACCCTTTACTCTAACAGGAACGTATTGCCTCTGGACTCTCATTATCTGATTTTTGTTATCTCTTCCTGAAGATGATTTCAGTGAAACATAACTTCATATCATTGGATGCTTGAAGGGAGCAAAAAATGGGATTTAACGGCAGGTGGATCTATTAAGGGACATGGAATTTAGATATTGCTCATGTGAAGAAATGGACCAGTATAGATTGGTTAGGCCAAATGCCTTGTTTCCATGTAATTGCTTCATGCATGTTGAGAAAAGGCACATATAACCTAGATTACATAGTCTATAATGAGTATACTGTGCTGTAATGGATCACATACTTGATAAACTTCTGATGATACTTGGGAGTGATAGGTTTAAAAAATCAGACTTCTTTTAGCACAAATGCTGAGTTCAAAGAACTTTAGAAAATTTGCATAATAGAAGACACATGCAAAAGGATTATTCACAAAGAGAAGCCTCAAATCTGTCAGTAAGAAAAGAAAGGCACACACCTGTTCTAACGTTGTTACTGTCATGTTTTATTTGATGATTATTCTCTTTTAACTTCTTCCTAATTGCTCTGATTTCCACAGTTTTAGGACTTTTCGAAAGCAGCATCATTAGTCCAGTAGCTCAGCACCCCTGGAGGTCTGTCTCAGTCTACATTAACAGTTGTCAGAAGCTGCCCACTTCCACCTGATCCCCTCTTATCCCCACTCGAACATATAGTGAAAAGGGCTGACATTCTCTTCTCTATTTTACACACAAATGATGATTAAATTCTGGTTGGAATCACCATGGCAAGTAGTCAAGGTCTCTGTGAACATCACCCTCCATGTCCGTAATGGAAGTTGCAAAATGGTGCCTTTTTTGAGCAATGAATGAACATACTTAATGTTTTTCAACAATCAGTGTTCTTGAACAGGAGATAACCTCCTGTCTTGTATTACAACCACACTCCACCAAAAGAGCACTGGCTGTGAATTCCAATAGAGAGGGATGTGTCTGATAATAACATTGATTCACACACGTCAGCAGTGATGAATAAGTTCCAACACTGACTTTGTTGCAATAAATCCAGTGTGATTAACCAATTAATTTTCTTGGCAAAACGCCTAACATGTCCCTATCTCATTTCACCATCTGAAAACCTCATTCTTATCCTTGTTAACTCTAGACTTGACTAGTCTAACATACTCCTGGCTCATCTCCCACATCATACCATTTGTAAACTTGAAGTCAGACGAAACTCTGCTGTCTGTGTCCTAACACACAATAAATTCCATTCGCCCAACTCCCTGCCCCTACTCTGCTTACTGAACTACATGTGTTCAGCAACATTTCAATTTTAAAATTCTCACATCTGTTTTCAAATCCCCATCACTCCTTAATGTCCTCCAGTCTCATGACTTTTCAAGATAGCTGCACTTTCTGATCATGCCCTCTTAAGCAGTCCTGATTTTTAATTATTCCACAACTGAGGTCTGAGGTTCAACAGGTAGACCCCAGGATCTGGAATCCAATTCTGAAAATTCTGTCTCCTTTAAGGTGCTCCTTAAAAACCTACTTAAATTGACAACGCTGTTGGTGACATATTCCAATATCTGCTTATGTTACTCGGTGTCAAACTTTATTTAACATTCCTATGAAATGCCTTGGGAGGCTTTACTATGTTAGAGATTTGATATAAATGCAGGCTGTTATTGTTTCTATTGCTGTAGATGACTTCAAAACCAGTGCTGAGCAGAGCAGTGAGAACTAACCACGTGGCCACTGTGACTGGTCTCATTATAGTCAGGGAGCCAGTTGCTGGACAAACAGGACAACTATTGAGTCAGCAGCCCAGTGTGAAGGCAGTGGATGATGCTGTAAGTTTGGTTTCATTTGAGAAGTGTAACTTGCATTGGCTGATTAGCAATTTTTTTTTTTTTTTTTTTTATAAAAGAATTGTTCCTGAAAGTTGGTGAGCCACTTAAATCCAATAGATATCTCCATATGTTCTAACATGGTTTTTGAGAATATCAGTGTGCCTGGCATTCTGCTGCACAGTGTTGCTATGTAGTATGTGATGACCCTGTTCCGTGTTCCAGGGTAACTGTGTATCAGTGGGTGTTACCTCATGGGAATTGGTTGCTGTCCTCCTGAATTCTCAGAACATGACAGTTTCTGGACTTAACGGGACAACAAGTATCTTGTTTGCGGGCTGTTGGGCAAATTACACTGACCTGTCCATCAACACAAATGGTAAGAGAAGCCTGCAGTTTGGGTCCTCACACCATCATTATATACAGAGTTTCCAAATTAAACTATCATGTCTGGAACTGATATGTTTCACACAGCCTCTTTCTGTGACCATTGACATTGTTTCTCTGCATTTGTAAGATTTGCAGCAAAGAGACTGAAAGTATGAAAGAAACAGGGAACAACATGCTCCCATAAAAATACTGACTGGGGGCTGGAAGTGGGGAGGGCATGAGGAACTGCACATTATGAAGCTTATATTAACCACTTGACCGTCCCATTCCCCCACTACTGATTCCAAGGAGAGGTGTTTGGAGTGGTCCTGGTGAAGGATGACTGAAGAGGGTCACATCCATGTTCAAACAGAGGGTGGCGAGGGCCCTGTTGGAACAGACAGAGGAGGGGAGGAAGCTACAGTCAAAAGAAGAATGGGTGAGGTTGGGGGGATTGGGAAGGAGTGTGGAAGAGTTTGATGATAGGAAGTTGGATTAGCCTCCTTGCTATAACCAGGTTTTCAGACATCCATTCAGGGCACCGAATCAGGAGCTCAAAATGGCAGGATTTCAGTCGTTTAACATAATGCTCACTTTTCCAAATGGATGGAGTATATCAGTAGCATTATCCCATAGACAAGAAAATGGTTTGTTTCTGTGCTGTAAAATGTTAAATAAATGATAAAACAGTTGGTTTTTTTTCTGTTATTGCATCACAGGTACCGGCTACAAACTATTGTTTGAACTTAAGTCTATTAAAACTCATTCTGGCACCTTCTCTGTGAAACAAATAAATGACAGCCCTGGGAAACCCTCAGGCACCAGCCCAGCCTCAGTCCTCGGTAATACACAAGGGATCATTAGTGGCTCCATTATGGGAAGCGTTGTGCTCATCCGCCTCATTGCTGGCATAATCTGGAAATTAACAGGTGAGCACAGGAATTAGCTGTCATTGTTGAAATACTTTCTCATTCCTTTATATTTAATCAGTTAACAGCAGAGATTTGTCATTCATATGATATATATTTTTAGGGCAGAACAGTGATCTGTTTTTGTTCATTCATTCACAGGAGATGGGCTTCAGTGCATTTACTGTTAATCCCTAATTACCCTCAAGAAGGTGGTGGTGATGAGCTGCCTTCTTGAACCACTGTAGGCCTAGTGTAGGGACACCAACCGTGGTGTTAGGTAAGGAGTTACATGATTTTGATGCCACAACAATGAAGGAAGTTTCAAGTCAGCTTGACGTGCAGCTTGAAAAGGATCTTGCAGGTGGCAGTGTTTCAATGCATATGCTGCCCTTGTACTGTCTAACACTTACAAGGACAGTTTGGGAGATGCTAGCAAAGGAGGTTGGGCAAGTTGCTGTAGTGAAGCATTATGGTATGCACTGCTGCCACGGGGTATTGGTGCTGGAGTGTGTAGTGGCAAGTGGAGCATTTGAAAAAGGGGGTTCATTTTAGTATGTGTTGCAAGGGACATTGCAGATGTTCAGCAATGAGTGAATAAATTTCACACAGTATTGATCCATACTGCATGGATACCTCCTAGTTAATAATTCATCCCCTAAATGGTTACTTACAAAGTTGTTCTGGCACAAGTGCATTGGGATAAAGTGACTTCAGTGAAGGCTCCAGAGATTGTCAGTAAAGGTTCATTGTCCAGCTCATGACTTGGCATTTTCATACTGCTGTACTATTTATTTACAGCTGGTAACACCAAGAAGATTCAGGTGTCTACCAGACCTGATGCGCAGGACAAGAAACAAGTTGACACAGTCACTGGTTATAATCCAGACAACAGCCTCCCTCGAGTGCAAAACTGACCAGCATAAAGCTTGAAAAATGGTAAAGTCCTCCATTACACTACTTGCAGTTAAAGAATATAGACAGTTGTGTTAGCACTTCACAACTGAATCCTATTTTAGCCACCCAACATTCAAGTTAAATGTTTTAAACATTATTTCACTCCAGCTTCAGCAGAAACTTTAATGACCCAGAGAATCAGTTTCAAAGGGTCCTAGCTGCAGTGTTGTCCCTCTTTGTCACAGCAATCTTCTCCAGTTTCCCCCATTCTCCCTGGTGCACTGGCGGTCACCTGGAAGACTTTGGTCTTGAGCAGTTGGATTCGTAATGAGAGGCAGTTCATGGACAATTCACTGCCCTGATTCCTGGAAGAATGGAAGAGGTTTTCTTGAGGAATGTTTCAGGTTGGGCCTGAGAGGTGGTGGTCATAATGAAGCATCACAAATGCTGTCGGGGCTTGTCAGTAGATGTTGAGAACGTGACCCTTTATGGGGAAACCTTGAAATTTGGGCAGAGTTGACAGAGCAACAAACAGTCCCACACGTAAACCTGAATGCGGAAAATCAGTATCTTTCTATTAGAAACAAAGGCTGAGTTTCAATATTTTAGATATAACTTTAAATAGTATATTCAATATCTGAATTGAATCTGTTCAATTGTTTTACAGACCAACGTAACCAGGATTGAATGAAGTTGAAGCAACAAATGAAATCCAACAATCTTTTATTTTCGGGACAAGCTGATTATAACCCAAAACAATAGTGAGATTTCCATTAGGTTAACCTTCAAATTTTTCAGCCAGTGAAACTAGTCTTTGTCAAGTATATCTTTATAATGTCCTAGTAGTTTCAGTCACGTTCCTGCAAATTTTCTTGAATTGTTTTCAATCCAGCCTTCTACTCGAAATTATGTACCAGCTGTTGGGGGTGGGGGGGGCAGGGGGAGGAGAGAGGGAGAGAAGAGATATGTTTTTAGATGGATATTCTAATTTTATACAAAAATGCCAAGCACAATACAGGTATATATCCTTTACATGTTATCATTTGAAGTCATTTCTCATCATCCAGTAAACATTTGCCTCAAAAAGCTCACATCTACTTTTCATTCACCAATCAACGTGAAAAAAAAAGTTACAACTCACATTGATCTTGATTACGTGGTATACAACACATGACACTAATGATAGTGTCTAGTTTTTTTAATTATTCAAAAATCCAATTGATTATATTTGGATTCCCCAGTTTGCACCTAGCTTACATATTGGATGGCCTTTATCTCCTTAAGGACCCAAAACTATATCCAATACTTCACTGTTGCAATCCAAGTTTTCCTTGTCACAATCTCAAATATTTTGTTTGCCTCTTTGCCTTAATCTACCAACAGCTACATAACAAAGAGCATCAGTCCAGATACAATCCTCAATAATTAGTAGTTAACAGTCCATCCTTACAAAGTATATTACTTTGCAGCAGCATGTGTAGGATACATAGACAATTAAAGTCAATGACAAACAGTGATTTTGATTTGATTTACATCTTTGCCAATATTTGATGTTTGGTTTACAGTGACATTGAATGGCTGTGTTCAATTAAAAAAACAATGATTTGCTTCAGTACACAACATGAGTTTGAAATCTATTTTACAAGAGTTCTTAATCAATTGCATCATTCAATCACAAATAATCTGAGTTTCTGCTTACCTGTATTTAAAGGCAGCTCTGAATATAAAGTCTTATGGGCTGCAGAATCATTTGTGAGCAAAGTTTTAATAAATTCCTTATTTCACCCTCAACTCTGCCAGCAGACTAAGGTTGGTGCACCTGATATGCTCAAATTTTTTACCAGAAGAATTAGGGGAGACCACAGCATTATGATAAAGTCACTGTTACAGACTAGTAATCCTGATAACCAGGCTAACTCTGGGGCAGAGATAGTGGGAACTGCTGATGCTGGAAAATCTGATAACGAGGTGTAGAGCTGGATGAACACAGCAGGCCAA